TGAAATCAACTGAAAGGTTATTTTTGTTAAATAATAATGATATACTTAGCGACAGTGAAAAAATTTACAAACACCCTGACAACACTCTTTGGATCGAATGCAGAACTTTCCTGGGGGAATACAATTGACACAAGTGCCTCGGAAAAGCGCACGGAGTTCACATGCGGTGCTTCCACAACAACGTTGATTGAAAGGTAGTTTCCGACACACCTCACCCAAGGCTTTGCATGATGTGTTGTGGTCTTCTTGAACAACTGAACAATCTACGGTAGAAAGAACAGACAATAACTTTAGTCTGGGTGGTTGATTCACTGTGCTCATGTATCCTTAGAAATGACCGATAAGGTCACAACAGTAAGTACTGTAAAATTGGTACTTCAACAACATGTGACTTGTACATGAAAGTTAATTCAACGGGTTAATGACGACAGTTATTTGAGATGGTCTAATTGAGATGGACCGATACTGATTACATTAATATCCCATGTTAGAGACACCACTTTGGTGCCCAACTCTTACATGCTGGAGAGATTCCTGCTGGTCATAATTAATTCCTAAAAAAATAAAATTCTCGACGAGATAACAGCTAATGGAAGATCATGCTATGGGTTGCTTTTGTCGTCCGAATTATCCAGGCATGATCTTCTTGCTGCGACATGGTATTAAAAACCGGTTGTCCAACCGTTCAGATAGATTCCACAGCTGGGTCTGCGGTAGACATCACCGAGATACGACACTTGAGCCGGCTGGCCACGGGAGACAGGAGACTGACCTTAGAGACGCGTTTTGTTGTCATGGGCGAGACTCTATGACTGTTTTGTTTGAGGTATCCATAAATTCTGTATAAATGAAAGGACTGCGCCTTCCACAAACCCTCATTATAAAATGCAATCAGCACTCCGCTCTAAGTAGCTTAAAGGTGGGTTACCTAATAATGGAGACCATGTGGATACCTGCAGTGAATATTGTGCAATATGATAACTACGTAGGTGCGGCTAACTGATCACTGTCCAGTCAGCACGATTTCAAGGGTAAGCTGGTTTAAATTCACAAGCTTCAGTTGGTAGTAACAGGAATAGGCCTAAGGAAAGCAGTCCTAAAATTGAGGAAATTGCATCCAAGAAAAATGACCTGAATCCATCCGAGCAGGGTAGTGAAATTTCAGCCAAGGCTTTACAACAAGTGATGATATTTCCACTTTGTTCTTTTTGGCAGGGAAGTTAAGTGGGTTAGATGATCTAAATATGGTATATAGTATATGGAAGAATTTAAAGGTCTCGAAATTTTGTGGCCCATTCCACCAGCGTTAAACTGGAAACGTTCTAATTTTTTAAGATACATCATCCTGGCAGTTGCTCGTAAAATTGTGAATAACTTTCAGTTGATGTGCAGATAAATCCTGAAACACTGTTGTTCGCTGGTTTCCTAGCACTGTTTGCAGCACCCAGTCGGGCCACGTTGGGTTACACGCAAAACACCAAAATCCAAACCTTTCAACTGGAGGCTTATCGACAAATGTGTTACTATGAATACAATAATAAAATGATAAAATTGTACAAATCTCAGATTGTAGTATTAAGTCGACTTCTATACACCCAGCTAGCAAATGCTAGTTTCAAACATGCTTCTGTATAAATAGACAGGAAACATCAGGCAAACCCAAAGTTTACATCAACTCAAGGAAAGTGAGGGGAGTTAAACTAGACGTGCAATGACAAGGTTTACTTTCGGGTGAAAACAAGAAAGCCGGGATAGGCGGAAGGCCATGTTCAACCCGTGTGAAGAAACCCTCCATGACCTATCACCAAAGAAGTTGTTTCTCGGTGTGCTAAGAAGAAGTTTCGCCCTTTAATGCACTGTGCACACACATTCCTCTTTTCAGCCCATCTACTCAGTAAAAAGTCTGGATTCTTTTGTTGAATCAGCATTGATTGAAGCACTGGCGTGATGGGAAGCGTTTTTCCCACTTACTATTAATAGGACAACGAAAACACTTTACTATTAGTTCAGCCGTACTTCCAAACCACACAAAACCCTTTATTGTACCAATGTCTTTTATTTTAAATTCCATTTCATTTTTTCATGTGCGTTCACAGCAAACGGGCCCACTGTCCACTGAAAACGGATACAGTGCACTCGTGAGTCCATGAAATTCGGTTTTCTACCCACTCTGTTCCGGATGCTTTCGAGTCAATCATGGTTCGAACACAAAAGCCTTAGGAGCACTTTCCGGATGAGCCTGACGTTCAGAAGTGAACTGAAATACCAGTTTCATATTCGAATTGCTCGTTGTCTACCTCCGGGCAGATCGGAAAACCATTGGCAGATGTATTGATGGGCAGTGTTTCGCCCTTGACACGAAGGCATTGTCAGGCCAGATGACTAGGTCACGAGGTTGGTGATGTTTGGAGGTAGTAGGAGAATCAGTCAGCAAGATGTATCGCTACTAGCAAGCTAAATGGGTATTAAGTGTCAGCTAGGGACGAGTTGTAATAATTTTCAATCCTATGCAACCTCCACCTTGTAGGTTCGTACATAATTTGAGCGGGATCTCTCGAATTTTAATTATCAAGACGGTTCATTAAATTCATAGTCAATCGTATTTTCTTACAATCCATCTGTTGCTGATTCGGGCATCTTTGTAGATACGTATGAGATCTCTATTCACCAATGATAACTAAGGTTACGTGCTATCTTCTAATGGAGGCAATCAGTATTGTCATTTCTCACGATGAAAGTACAGATCATAAACCACGTGCTTACCATAAAAAATTACACTACAGCCGTGATGAAGAAGCATTGCTCTGACGACCTGTGTATGTCAAATACAGATCGAGGACAACTGTCGATTGGATCACTCATCTGATACCCAGATGAATTACACCTACGAGTTGTTACTAAAATACTGTTGATGCCTGTAGCTCCCTCCTGACATCTCATTCACCAGAACTTTCTTCCTCGTAATGGGAGTACAGAAACCGTAATCCAACTTTTCAGAGCGTAAAATGCCAAATTTTTCCATACAGTTGCACCAAAAACGACTGCATAATCCACGACACACTTGTATTTTATTGTGAGTGACTGGCATCAGAAGTGGACTAGCTTGCCAACAGTCGTCAAACCACTGAATTCCTCTACCTAGTAGGAAGGCAACAGACGGTTTGCGCTTGGCCGATGTGGTTATTCACGCAAGTCATCGGCTGTGATATAGACCCGACGGAATAATATCACCTACGAAACAAATCAGAAACGAATTCCGAATTATCTGCAGCGCTTACATGATATCTGTGTTACATGGTGGAAAAGGAGTACACTGTATTACATATCTTCAGTTGGCTGCAGCCAGTGGCTACTTACTGATCTCATTCCAATGGAAGCTGCTCCTAAAAAGGTTCAGAGAACCGGAGAGAAGTCTTGCTTCGGATAGATTGGATTAAAATCATTGTGCCGACTTATGGCGTTAGGATGGCGAGATGCACTTACGCAAGCGTGCCTGATGCTAATCTACATTTCGTCCAACCACTTGATACGACATGGAATATATCCCGTCAGTAATCAAACCTTACAT